ATCTCTAGAACACTGTTTTAGACATCATAGATAGATATATGAATACTACTAAAGAGAATGAATCAGTAATATCTGCTTATCTCTGTTAAATATAAAACCTGTTTAATCATATGATTGGAGGTTTGCAGAATATGATTTATTCATACTTGTGCTCCTCTATTTTCATTGCAAGCTTCCTTCAACCGAGTTTAGAATAGACTTATCTAAAATGAACTGATTTGAGCAGAGGGCTATATAATTATTTTTAATGCAAGCTTAAAATAGTTTAATAGTTCAGATCTAATGCATGCCCAGTTATGTTTACAGAACTTGCCACAAAAAAGACTTCTCTTTCAGCCTTTTGCTAACATATCCAGAGCTAAAAAAAACCCAGTGAAATCTAAAAACCACCCATTACAAATCCCCCTATGCTGCTCCATTTCATTGTACTCTTATTTAAATATCAATAATTAGAACCTGGACAAAAGGATTTTTCTCTAATCCAGGGTACCTACAATATCCAGCAACCAGGATGATGTAATTTATAATAACATCATTTTGGCAGCTATTTTTGTCCTTATTGTTTCTCTGTTCTTAGACATCAATAGGATGTAACCCAATTTAATTCATTATTAACTAAAACTGAATTTCAGAAAAGGTTTGAGTCTTATCCGTAAATTAAGCTTACTTGATTAAATTCCTTGAGTCTGAAGGAATATGAGGAGATAGATGTTAGGTATCACATATTCATTCATTCATTCACTGATGAAAAGTACATGATATAATAGTTATAGTGAACATGGATGCAGTACCGAAAATAATCATTACTGCATCAGCAAATGTAAATTGAGGAACAGCTGTAATGTGATTTTTTGAAACACAGAAATAAGCAAGCTTTTAAGAAAGAAAGAACAATTTAATTGTTAGTGAAGGTTATTCATATACAGATCTTCAAATAAGAATATTATATTTGATATAAATGAAGAGAAAAGAATGGGAAAGTTGTTAAGATAAAATAAGTTTCAAAATGTTCAATAACCATCATTAGTAGTAACAAAATTGAAAGTTTAGTATAGTACTCTAGAGAATTTATAAAAACTAGAGAGTAGGCTCCACAGGGTATCAGATACAGAATAGAGGTAGTCCTTAATGACTGTTTATTTTGTGTTTGAAGTTATGACACTGAACGAATGATATTTGCGCCTGGTCTTCAAAGTTATGACCACTGGATACCTCTATGACAGAGGTCCCCAAGCCCCAGTCCCTGAACCGGTACCAGGCCACGGTATGCCAGCAACTGGGCTGCACAAACAAGCAAAGCCCCATCTGTGTGATGCAGGCAGCACACAAAACCATGCCCCCTCCGGTCCGTGGAAAAACCTCTCCACGTAACTGGTTCCTGGTGCCCAAAAGATTGGGGACCTCTGCTCTATGGTCAAAATTCAGGTTCTTGGCAGCTTGTCTGTATTTACAACCATAAGGTGTGCTTCAACAACCCCCACCTGCCTATCTCCCCCTCATGTCTGCCCTTTTGGCCCTGTGGATTCATGAGACCTCATAAAGAAGGCCTTGGTGGTCAGTAGCTGCCTTGTGAAGTGCTAGGCCTGGCCAGGCATGCCTTGTCAGTAGTAGGGGACAAGAGGACAGTGAAGGTCAGCTAGGGTAACAGAGGTCTCGGAGTACAGGGAGGCTCTGGCTTCAGTCTGTGCTCCTGGGCTAGCTGGGGCTTCATATTGGGCCATGGCAGAGGCTTGGGCGCTCTACCGCTCACAGCAACAGCCACCCCAGTCTAGGTCCTCCTTGTGATTTCTTTCTGGCTTCCAACAAGCAAAATCAATCGGGAAGCCAGAAGAAAGTCTTCAGCCCTTACTTAGTAACCCACGATTCTCACTTAATGATAGCAATGGAGACTGCCAGGATTGCTGTTACTAAACAATGTGCCATCACTCAGTGACAAAAATTCTGGTCCCAATTACCATTGTAATCTGAGGATCATCTATATATATACAGTACATGATTAGCAATGAATACAAGTCACTTTTTAATGTACAGTATAATGTATATCCTCACAGAGACTGGGTTCTGAGGAATATGTATTTCTGGTCAATTAATTGCAACTAACTGATCAGATTGAATGCTTGACTGGCAATCATGTTCTTTTAATATAATAAAAAGGATTGACTAGAAAAGTAATTTTTCATATCTCCTGTATTAGACAAAATTATTTGAAAATTCAGGCAGTTATGATAGGGCATTCCAAAGTTGATTGTCTGCATTGAGGTCTCTATTGGAGAAATAATTGCAGATCACCTAAGAATAGATCATATGACATTTGGGCATCTTTGAATGATTTCAAGCTAAGCAGTGTCAGACCCAGGTAGTACTTGAATGGGAGAGCATCAGGAAATGCCTGTCTCTAGACTATATTGAAAAGTTTTTTTAAAAAAAGCCTGGGAGAAGACAGTGACAAATTACTTCCATATTGTTGCCAATAAAATTCATAGGCTTATCCATGAACTTACCAGAATCAAACTGGACTCGAAAGAGATCTTAGTATGGACATAAATTATTTTCTTCTAGGCTTATATTGAAAAAAATGGCCTTTAAAGTTACAATCCATTTTGTATAGAAATTAAGTTCTTACTGACACTTGCTGACAACAGACCATAAAACAAAGAGTAGTTCCAGAAGGCAATCATTTGTACAAAGGAGACAACAGATTTGTCAATAAACGCATCCAGAAAGGAAAGCTAAAGTGTTAACTAAGCTTTACTGGAATCCTGAATGCAAAGCTTTATTGGAGTCCTATGAATGCAAAATTCTTAGTGGCAGATGAAAAGTTATTTGCAATATTAAAAAGTATTTTAATAAGCTGTTAAGATCCACTGAAGACTGAAAAAATACATCCATTATTCACAATTGTCTCCACTATATCATACGGTGAAGTTATTATGCAAATGATTAAATACAGCTAAGGTTTTCTACATTGCACGCAAAGTACATTGTACAAATTCTGCTAAATCAAAGTTTCATCATGGTACATATAAGAATATTTTATGTCTAATTTCTTTGTACAGGAAAATTTCCAAACTTTTTGAATCTGAGGTCTTGGGCATAAAATGAAGGCCATGATGGGCATGGGCAGTTATAGAATACCAGTTCATCAGATTTACAAGATTATTTTTTGCCCTCCTTCTGACATGCCAAGATGTTTCCTACCATTTCATCTTAACTCTCTATTTTTTTCTGGACAGATCAAAAAAGTATTTGTACCAGTATGATATAGAGGACTATTGGAAAAACAGTTTATATTGGGACTGAGACTTTTATTTGCAATATTTTAAATGAAATAATATAGAATACATTTTATGGGGCAGAGAAGCTCATAGATAGGAAGTGTGATGTTATCATGATGTTATCCTATACATCATCATTTGTGAGTGCCACATGATCTAATCTATTTTTTGTTATTCTAAAGTTTTTGAATGTCTGTTTTGCAACAGATTGCACTTATAACATCCTTTGGGAAAAGGTTGGGATTAAAAGACATCAAAACAAATTGGCAGTATCCAAATCAATACATTGTTACGCTAATTTGCTAAGACAGTTTTTGACTTTTTCCTGTATATCACAAGTCTGTGAAGAAAAAAGGAAAATGCAATAGTTTTCCCATATCTATATATCACTTTAGTCTTTATGTTTTCTAGTATTAATTAAATATAAATTGATATGGGGGAAGATCCAATCCATGGGCTCTGCTTTGTGGAGCGTAGCAGGCTTCCAAATTCTATCCACTCTTGTTCAAATCTACATTAAGCATGTAGGTGAGGTCATCTGACAGTTTAGGTTGAAATATCATGAGTAGCTTTATATATACAGCCCAGACTATCTACATAATGTGATTGAAATCTTGTCTTGGTGTCTGGAGATTGTGGGGGTTTTGACTGTAGAACAACTATCATCAGCTAAAACCTAGCAAGATCTGATGGGTTTGGGTTTTAGGACCCTATTGTTCTAGGGGCCTTCCATGTGTAGTTATTGATGGGGTTACAAATTGGGGGTTCTCCTGGCTTCCCAGTTCCTGCTAGATCAGGTAGAAGCTTTCTAGGAGGACCTTTACAATTACATGTTGTGCATCAATTGCTCCATTCCCAGACCATTATGACTTGCTCATGGACACTCATGCCTTACGTCACCTCTCATTTGGCCTACTGCAATATGCTCTATGTGGGGCTGCCATTGAAGAGTATTTGGAATATTCAGCTAGTGCAAAATGAAGCAGCACAGGCAATTATGGGTGCTTGTCTTTTAGAGCCTGTGATGCCTCTGCTCTGTATTATTTGTCAGTATGCTTTCAGGTTATGGCAGGAGTGTCTCTCCCTGGTTGTATCTACCTGTCCAGTTGGATCAGGAAGAAGCTGCATGCTCCAGGTATCATCTACTAGTGTCATCTGGCAAGACCTAAGCTTTCTTGTCATGGCATCCTCCCTTTGGAACATCATTCTAGAGGCTAGACATCAGACTTGCCCTGATCCTGCTTACCTTTTGTAATGCATTGAAAGCATGATTTTATTACTGAGACTGGGGTCCCAGATGTAACTGTATTTGTATCATGTGCTAATTGTTGTTGATGGTTGGTTTTTCTCAGTTTATCTTGTTTTTAAGTATTATGAGATGGGCATCCAGAATAAATAAATAAATAAATAAATAAATATTAGTCTAAAATGCAAGGGGCATAAGTCAGTAAAAATGTATTGTCTTTCGCAAGTGTTTTTGTTTTCTGATTCATTCATTAGATATTGTCATAATATCTGATTATCAATTGTCTCCCAGCATCCAGTTTTTATTTTTGTTCTTGACATGCAACTTGGCATGAAAAACAAGGCTAAGAAGTGATGGGGACGAGAAAGACACCCATCCCTATAATGAATATATTGTAAGAAAATGGAGATACAGTATGTCTCATAACTGTGGTGAACTTAAAACAAAATCCTGACTGAAAATAATTTGACAATTTACAGTTTGTGCTTGTCACCAATTTTTTTATTGGAACTGGCAACTTTCACACTTTATAGTAACAGAATGACAGAAAAATAATGTTCACTATATATACAGCATGTACATAGGCATCTTCACCATACACAAGGCTAGTGATCTTGACAATCTCATCTCCACAGTCATCTGTGCACAAAAACACATCATCCATCAGACATTATGTGAACCTTACAGTGAAATGACATTCCAAGTCCAGTGAAAATTCAGCGTAATACAAAACATACCAATCTACTGCAAATGACATCCTTTAAAATAATAATTACTCAGTAGTCATTTAGCTAGAGTCTGAAGCAGAGATGTGTTGTGTAGTTATAAGTCTCTTAAGTGAAGCAACCTCTGCAGACAAATTTGCTACGCCCTGTTTCAAGTACAAGTTTTCTGTCTCAGAGACTTTGTAGGAATTGTCTTTAACATCAAGCCCTGCAGTTTTGCCACCACTCTGAGATTTTTCAGTCAGTTCTTTTTGATGGTGCCAGTGTTCTGGTTTCAGAGACCAGTCTTGGATATTAGTCACTTGAATTGAGAAAGGAGTGTGAGTATTATGTACTAAATTTTGTGCATTATGCTTTTCAAGATCAAAATGTCTTTTAGATGACATATCAATAGGTGACAGTCGTTTCTGTGTGGCATCGTATTCATTGTCCAATGTTTCCACTTTGACTTGCATGGCCTTTGCCTTAATTCTCAGTTTATGAGGAAGTGCAGAAGAGCTTACCTCTGGAACCTTAACTATGGCATTAGCATTTTTAAGTTCAACGGGAGAATGGATTGGACCTTTAGGAACCTGCTGCTCATCTTCTCCATCTGATGATTTTCCCACAACACCCTCATCAGTTTCTGAAGTCCTTGGAGAATTGCTGGAGGACCTGTTTGCTTGCAACAGTGGAGGGGAATGTGAATAGCCATTAAAATGGCTTCCCATGAAGCCTGGATATATTGAAGTCGTAAAGGACCCTCTTTCATCTCGTGAATCTCTTGCATAGTTTTCTAATTCCATAGGTTCCTGCTTTATGATTTGGAATTTATCATCAGTATTTCTGCAATGGTTTTGTATGGGGCTTGCTTGAGTATGCTCTACTGATGACACTTCAGATACATCAGATAAAGAGCTTTGTGGTGAGTGCTTAATGACAGATATGCAACTACTGCTTACAATAGTTGGCTCATGTTCATCGATGAAAGTATTAACGCTTGATTTGGAATTCTGATATTCTTGAAAATAAAGAACTGTTGAATTGTTGACCTTCTGAATCTCTTGGGCATATGCAGAAGAACTTATTAAACCAAATTTTAACTTCAGTGAAAGTAACTCAGCTTTTAAAGTGGCATTTTCTTCTCCCAGTGCAATTAGCTTGTTCTCTAAAACAAGATCATTCAGTCGCCGCTTTTCCCTAGACCTTTTGGCAGCTTCGTTATTTTTCCGCCGTTTTTCCCAGTACATCGCATCTTTCTTTTCATCTGGAATGAATTCCCGCTTTCTCCTGCATGCTGAAGCCTTGTTTTTTATAATGGATCCTTCTGCAAGTAACATTTCATCACCAGTAGCTAAGTCATCCGATACATCAGTCAGTGTAGAATTAAGAACCATAATTTTGTCCATGTTGCCACTTGTGTCAGCAGATGCCTCTTCTGTTTTAATGGACTGCATTTTTCTTAGCTGCATCAGAAGCAAATTTCAGTAAATATGTAAATTAATAGTATGATAAAGTAACCTTTCAGGTCTTGTTGAACCAGAACAATTTAATATATACAGTAATTTTAATTCCATAAGTATTATTCTGTTTATTCCATAGTCTCAGGCATCTTGGTGAAATGTTCCTCTGAGGTGATCCATCTGAGAAACTGCTTTAAAAACCTGTGACATACAAAAGAATAATAATTGTTTAGTTACTAATTTCAGTCCTTTTTTTAAAAAAAAGTATTTGTAACACTTTTAATAATTGTATTTATTTTATGTAATTATCATTTACAAAAACTGATTCTGTGGTTAATTATAATGCATAAGTAAACAAACCAGTAAAAACCACAATACCCTCAGACTAACATAACATAGGTAAAAAAAAAATCTCTAAAATTCTCTAAAAACTTAAATGCCTGCTTAAAAAGGAAACTTTTTTCAGGGCAGCTTTTTATTAGGTTTTTTTTTGTGCTTAATGCACAAAAGGGCAGCTCTTTGACTACACAGTTGTGTCTGTGACGTTGACTTTTTTAACACCCAATCACATACCTTCACTGATCCATCCCCCGATATTAAAGCAACTACAGAAAAGATCTTCCTTCTGACCAGCTCTCTTTTGCTTCTTACGGTGAAAAAACATTGAGGAAGTGCTCTCTTGATATTTTTACATGATGAATAGATTGGTTTCAGTAAAGCGATCCCTAACATAACCTGGCACTGTGCTGACCCAAGCTTTATATTCATTTATTCATTAGGCAAATGTATAGGGCTGCCCAACTCACACATGGTGACTCCGAGTAGCTTCACAATATTAAAAACCCACAATCTAAAAGGCCTCCCCATTTACAGATATTGCCTTATACATTATATTATCTATCAAGTATATTCCTGTCTTTTACAGAGTGCCAATCAGCTATTAATAAGTGCATGTTTAAAAACCAACTAACTGAAACACATTATAAAAAGCTAATTAATAAACACAAACAGCATCTATACAGCAAACCAGATTAATCATCATTCCTATAACTAAATGAAATCAACTTGTCTAAATATATATAGTAGATAGAACGATAAATATATTTCTTTTGAACAATTTTTAAAAATCCAATAAACCATTAATACCAAAGAGACACACTGCTTGCATTCCTCAGAAGGAATTAAAACCGAACATATATGGACATATATATTAAGCAGATTGGGCAACATTTTCTGTCCAAGGGCAGCAAATTACTCCATTTTGGAGGGTTGCAGGAACATTTCTGTTGGACGTCATTAAAAACACCAAGGCGTAAGGTTTAAAAACCTGCAGGTCTTGGAAGCTGTGTTCTACTGTTTCCAAAATGCCATACATCAAAAACATTTCTAACAACCACTCCACCCTACCCCACCCCCATGGTTCATGACCTTTTTGCCAAGAAACAGCATTTACTTCTGATTTCTGGCAAAAACACCCCAAAACAAACAATGGGTTCACTTAATGATTGACTCAGTATACTTCTGAGTTATCTGTCAAACTAGTAAAAATTTTGAGTACAGATAGTCCTTGCTTAATCCTAATTAGGACCAGAATTGCCATCATTAAGCAAAGAGCTCATTAGGTGAAATATACAAATACATCACTGAGCAACAGCAGTTCCAGTAGTCTGGTTGCAGTCATTAGGTGAGAACCATGCCACCGCTAGGCAAGGACCTCATATGTTTCCCCTTTCCTATCACTCTTACTTTTGCTTCAATTCTGCCCACGCTTCTATTTCCCTCCATTTCTGTCCTTTGGAGGTCCTGAACTCGCTGCCTGTACCTATTCTCATCTTTGTCCCCCCTCCACTTAGTAGCTCTTCTCTCAATTTTTTCTGAAGTCTCAACATCTTTTTTGTAGTATGGTGACCAAAATTAGTTGCAGTATTCCACATGTGGTCTAACTAGGGTATTATGAAGTGGTATTAATACTTCGTGTGATCTTGATTTTATGCCTCTGATTATACAACCCAAGATTGTATTAGCTTTTTTGGCTGCTACTGCATACTGCTGGTTCATAGTTAAGTGATCGTCCACTAGGACTCCAAGGTCCCTCTCACAGTTACTGTTTTTGAGCCAGGTCTCACCTAATCTGTACTTATATCTTTGATTTTTCCTGCCTAAATGTAAAACTTGGATAGGACCCATTGTTCAAGTTTGTCAAGATCTTTTTGGATCCTGAGCTTGTTTTTTGGGGTGTTGGCTATTCCTGCCAGTTTAGTGTCATCTGCAAATTTTATGAGTTCCCCTTCTATTCCCTCATCTAAGTCATTAATGAAGATATTGAAGAGTATTGGACCTAAGATGGAGCCTTGTGGTACCCCACTGTTTACTTCTTTCCATGTGTATGTAGTACCATTGAGGCCTACTTGTTTGTCAGCCAACTACAAGTCCATCTGGTGGTGATGTTGTCTATTCCACCTTTTTTTAGCTTACCAAGCAGTAGATTGTGGTCTACTTTGTCAAATGCCTTACTGAAATCTAAATATACTATGTCTACAACATTTTGCTGGTCTACCGATTTGGTCACTTTATCAAAGAATGAAATAAGATTGATTTGGCATGATCTGTTTTTAACAAACCTGTGCTGGCTACCATTATAACTTTGTTTGCTTCTAGTTTGTTCACAGATCTGTTTTTTGATTATCTTTTCCAGGATCTCCCCAGATATTGATGTTAGACTAATTGGTCTAATACAGGCATGTCAAACTCGCAACATCATGTGACATCACGTGACGTATTGGGACTTTTTCCCCATTGCTAGCAATGGGGTGGATGGAGTTTTGGTGTGATGCGTTCAGCTTGTGGGCCAGCAGTTTGACATGCCTGGTCTAATATATAACATTCCACAGAATTGAGACCATGGCAGAATAGGCATTCTTCCTCATTGGTTATTCTTGATATGGAATAACCAAGAGGGGTTCCACTGAAGAGTTCTTTGAAGTATCCTCACGTTTTTAAGGCAGTATATGTTAACACCAATAACACCAACTTAGTTCAATGGAAAAGTATAGCTATTTTAACAGAGATGATATATAGCTATGGTGAGGCATTATACACAAACACCTAGCTGCCTGTGCTTCCAAGGGCAGCCCTACATATTTTTAGCATTCGGTATGGCAAGTTATGCATCCCTTCCAATGCAAAAAATAGTTCAATGTCAGGTATGGAAGTATGCAATAGTTAGTAATTTAGAATGAACACAATCTCATAAGCAGCATTATGCTAATAAAGAAACATGTATTCCACTTCTTTCAAAAACTGAGGTTCCCTTTTGTTACAGTGAATAAATAAAATTGAACTGAATGAAGGAAATGGTAAACAAAGTACCATTTCCTCTGACAATATGAAAAGCATTCTTGTGGTTAAAATAAGATAAATCTTCTGGTAACAAATTCAATATTTACACTAACCACAAAGTTAAAGTGGGTTTTTTTTCTCACATTGTGTATTTTCAAAGAGTTACTATTTTAAAAATCTACTAAAACTCTGCAAGATTCCATTAGCTTTATAGGCGTCCATACCGTATAGTTTGTTATGGCACAATATCAAAGTCAAACCTTGGATCTCTTTCAATTTCTTTGTGTGTATATCAGCTAGAACTTCATCTGATGATAATAGCAAATCAAGTCAATTTTACTACTGTCATTTGTAATGTTACTGAAAAATATGATACATATGTATGTGTGTGTGTGTGTGTGTGTGTGTGTGTGTGTGTGTATGTATATGTATGTGTGTGTGTGTGTATACTATAATTCCACCAATTATTTTATTTGAAATTCTACCATTTCCTCTATGGTTAATTTCACAGTTGTTTGTTTATGCAATTTATCCACTACCTCAATCCTCATTGACCCTGCAAGTTTACAGATATTAAGACAGAAATAAGAATAAACTCTACATTTAAAAATTTAGATAATGAGTTTAAAAGTAACAACTACATTCAATCGATGATCAATCCCCAAATGCCTTCCAGAACAACCATTTACTACCCAATTATAAATGCTACCTTGCATCTCTTGAAAAATATTTTGAAAGACAAAGAGCTACTAAAATTGTTTACAGTATAAATCATTTTAACAATGTAATAATCAGCAATAACTAGTTTAATATTGAAAAGGTTCATAATGCTTCATTCCTACTTTTTACCTATTCCATAGTTATAAATGATATGGCTTCTATTTTCTTCAAAAATACTATTTCTGAAAGACTCCTATTCAGCCTGACTGAGCTTTCAAGGTAAATTATCTTTTGTTAAGAGGAAATGAAGGGGAATGTTATGCAATTTACTATTTTTATCCTACTACACCTGGAGTTTGCACCACTATCATGAAACTTAGGTATTCATTTGCAGAAGGATAAAAGAAAGCCTATGAAACAATAAAGCTGCTAGTATTCAACTAAGCCTATGCAGTCAGGTTGGGAAAAGACTAAAAGCTGTATTTACCTGGTTTGGCCACTAACTACAAAAACCCTCGCTGCTGAAATGAACAGTGGCATCATATTTTTATTCAAACCAATTATTTACCACTGTGATATAATCTCTGAGGGAGATGGGTGGTTCAAAAGTATGAAATATAAACAAATATAAATTTGCAATGATATAACTGCAGTTGATCATCAAACTGCCTAGCTTTGTGTTACTTTCTAGTTAAAGATTTATAGACTAGAATAGGTATTATTCTAAAACAATAATCAGAGTGTTAAAGACCAACATTGTCAGAAAAATACCTGGAATGTTTCTATTAACTTTGTAACCTTTAGTCATACTTGCAAGGCTACAGAATGCTCAGTCATGGGGCAAACTAAATATATACAGTAGTTAGTTCTAAACATAACAATTTCAGCTAAAGGGCTTGTCTAATTCTTGGTATTTTTAATAGCAAGTTCTACTCCTTGAAGGGCAATGTTGTATGCATATATTTAATTATCTTACTTTTACCCTTGAGCTTATGATTATTTAGCTCTTACAATATATTTTCATTGTTCTCAACTTTCTAAAAACAATATAAGTTTCAAGAATTCTTTCTAGGCATAACATTATTTATATTTAGAACCAGAGCTATAAATAAATCACAATCTCATTTAAAATTAAATTAAGTTAGTAGACACTGAATACAACAAATACCTAAAACAATCATGTTATCAACTGTTTTGGTTATTGGCTCTGAATTAAAATTTAAATTTGATTTTGATTTTAAAAAAACTAGAGTTGCAATCCTATTTGGGAATAAACAACTTTAAATGTAATGGGTCTGATTTCTATGTAAGGTTTCTGCTGTTAAGTCTCAGTTGATTAACTATAAAATGAAATTATGGCCATATCTGCATTTAACATTTTGTCAGCTTGACTTAAAACAGCTTAAGAAAACCCTATCTCAGCTATGATACTTTGCCAACAACTTGCAAGTTATTCAGTCCAGATAGTGGGCTATCACATACTCCCACTGGACAATTCCCATGGTGCTCTAATCTTTCTCCTCCAAGAAGGAAATTGCCATTTGCTTTCCTTCCTATGGACATATTTATATAGCTGTGTTAAATTAAGGAGAGGTAAAGCATAAAAATACTTGCCTCTACAAGCAAGTATATAAATTAGCAAAAAAAAAAAAAAACCCAACCAAAAACATTTTCTGCCCTCTTATTTTTAATGTCTTTCAGACCTACTCTTACCATGAGTTATTTGATAGCAAAACAATATATCTTGCTTTATAAATAAGATTGCTGATTGGAAACCCAACATAATCATTGCTTGTAATTAAATGAAATGTTAATCTTATTATCGTTCAATGTTGATAAGGCATCCATGGGGGTTGAGTCAGAATGCAAAAGAGCAGGTAATAATATAATCACAATATTATGATCCTAGCCTTGCCTCTATTGTATGTGTGTACCACACTGACACATGTACAAAAAGAATAAGACTTAGTTTGTAACACTGTACCTGCCAGAATGCAGTTTTACCTCACTTTTTACCATTGACCACTGCCTCAATTATCTGCTCAATTATCTCTCATTTTCAAATAAATGTGAAATAAAATCCCAACTATATATCCCTACAAAAGATGAAAAGATAAATGGGAAGTGGACAATTTCCCCTTCCAATATATCTATATACCCCCTCTCCTGTATGTTCTGTATGAACTACTATTGGGTCTTGCAAAGAAAAGAAGAATGGAATATTTTATTCGGGGGACAGAAATTTGTTTATTAACTTGTATTGTAATCCTAAGTGTTCATAGACCACAGATTCAAATCCTATAGAAATTTTAAGTATAACTTCTAAATTGTAGGCAATTATAGCACATCTATGTGAGATTATTCTTCATTTCTAACTGGGAGACTGGACTAGAAAAATAGTA